AAATCTTAGTAAGGAACACAATTTTTAAATAAAATTATATGAAAATATTCAAATTCCTTATTAAACCAGCACGGCATAAAGAAAATGTCCATAGCCATTTTAGTAAAAGTAAGTAGAGATATATAATTAATCAGTCGATCAATCGATATTTCGATCAATCGACAGATTAATACACCCCTTACTTAACTGATGAGTAAGTCAGCCCTTCTCCTTCAGGTTTGTCTCCGGTTTATTGCTGTCTATATTGGTTGGGGTCCTAATACAGAAGTTTGTCAGAAAGCAGAGCGGGAGACACGTGATTCCTAATTATCAACTATGAAGCAGTATACCTGGCAATATAAAGGTATTCAAAAGAGTCTAATTAACATTTCAAACTGACATAGTTTATACTTGTGAACTTCTAACTTTCATTTTTTGCGATTTTGTATATATATATATATATATATATATATATATATATATATATATATATATATATATATATATATTCACAATTTCAATTTTTACAATTTTCACAATTTCATCTTCTCTAGAATCACTGGGAAAGTTTCAACCAAACTTAGCACAGAACATCCTTGGGTAAAGGGGATTTTGGTTTCTTCAAATGAAGGGTCACTACTTCTTCCAAGGGGAGGTTATTAAGAAATAGTAAAGATCGGGTGTGGTCATTTAAAAATCTTTTCCTCCAGAACAACTTGGGCAGAAATGATGAAAACTTCCTAACAAAGCGTAAAGTTTGTTAAAATTATGACCCCCAGGGGTAGGGTTGGGCCACTATGGGTGGACGAAGTTTTACATGGGTATATAGTGGAATATTCTTTAAAACTCTTCTTAAGAACAGTAAAGCAATGTTCAGTCATTTTTATATGAAAGCATCCTTTGGTAGAGTATTTTCAATTTTGTTCAAATCATGACCCCCGAGGGCAGGGTGGGGCCACTATAGGCAAACAAAGAGTTACATGGTTAAATATAGGACACATCTTTAAAAAAAATCTTGTTCTCAAGAACAGCAAAACCATGACCAGTTATATTAAAATAACACCATCCTCAGGTAGTGTAGATTTAAATTTGTAAAATCATGACCCCCTCCCCCCTCCTGGGGGGTGGGGGTAGGTTGAAGTTTGGGTCCATAATGAGCAATCAAAGTTTTACCTAGAATACTTATGAAAATTCTTTAAAAAATTCTTTTCAAGGTACAGCAAAATCTTTATAAGTCATCATATGGAAGCATTCTTAGGTAATGTATATAGATTCAAGTTTGTTCAAATCATGACTCTCGGTGGTAGGGTGTAGGGTGGGGACAATCGGAATACATATGAAAATCCTCAAAACTCTTTTCTAGAACATGAAAGCCTTGATTAGAAATATTTATATGTAAGCATCCACAGGTAGTGTAGAATCAATCATGACATCCGGGGATAGGGTGGAGCTACAACTGGCGATCAAAGTTTTACATAGGAATATATAGGAAGAATCTGCTGATGAAGAACAAGAAGGGTCATATTTACTCAGGTGAGCGTTGTGGCCCATGGGCTTCTTGTTTGCATTATTAAAATTTTGTTTTTTTCTCAAAGCAAAATCTAATAGATACGATTTATAACAGTTTGTGTCGGTATTAGTGCTTTCTGTTGTTACGATACTAGAACATGTTTTGATAAAATCCTAGAGTTTGTCTTATGGGTTTAAGAATTATGTAAAATTACATGTAAATATACAACTTATTCAAGAATCGATATTAAAAGTTTCAATTGTTTTGCAGACTGGTATTATTTATACCGTTAAGTGTGGTAGAACAGGACATCATTTTGATAAAATCTAAGTCGACTACAATTGCTGCACAACATGCCAGTACATCAAATTTGAAAGCAGTTTTATATTTTGTCCATTTCTTGTGCAATGTAAATATTATTAATATAAGTTTTATAGTTGTTTTAGTGTTATAATAAATGCCATGGATTATTTAGCATTGCTAAGGCTACAGATTTTCACAAGGACAACGACACAAAGAATGACATTTTTGTCACCCAAATTTTTCCATTACTAAAATAACCTCAAATTCATTCCATGTTTCTTTATAATAATATAATGTTTACTTGTCAACACGTAACAACCACTTTTGATCTCCAATGAGTCCGAGTTCATTTCCACTTAAAAGACAGAACAACTTTGTTTTGTGAGAAAGGTCATTTATTCAATTTACCACAAATATATTTGATCAGATGATGAAATTAGTGTCAATCATTGATTAACAAAAAAATGACTGAATAAATGACAAAAAATTTGCAAAGGTGGGGTTAAAAAACCGCCTATCAATAAAAATAACATGAGTATAATAAAATGTGATATACATACAATTTTGAAACCCAGGTTTTTATTACAAAATCATAAATAAGTTGTAGAAAACAACAAGTTGTTACCAGAATATAATTATAATAACTGAACAACGCAAAAACAAAAATTACAGTTTGCTTGTGATTTAGGACTGATGAATTTTTAGACAAATTATAGCAGGGTGCTGGTGGGTGGGTAAATTGATTTCTTGTAAAAACTTTAGGTGCGTCTGGCAGCTATTAAAACAAAGAAGTGATTAAAGTGTGACCTCTCTAAATATTATTAATATAAGTTTCTATAGTTGTTTTAGTGTTATAATAAATGCTATGGATTATTTAGCATTGCTAAGGCTACAGATTTTCACAAGGACAACGACACAAAGAATGACATTTTCTTAACTAAACAACTATTTCAGCAGGCAAGTAAGTTAAGGCCAAGTGTTGGCGATTCTTTGCAAATGAGCTAATTTAAACAATAAGCGGTAAGACTAATTATTTTAAAATATCAGAGTTGTTACTCGTATGTAAACGGAATCTCCTTTTTCACTGAGTAGGAAATTCCAAGAATATCAGATATCACTAATCTTCAAATTAACATAATCAGACACTTATGTTTTTCAGTTTTTGGTAAAAACAACACATTGACATTTATAACAGGCACCAAATAGGATAATAAAAATTGGCTTTATGGACAGTCAGAAATATGTATACAATTCAAATATAATAATTGTGATTCTTTCTATTCACATGGTTTCTATTAGATTTTTCACTCCCCGACCCCAACTTTAAAATATTTTTACTGCAAAATAAAAGTTCACCAATATTCTAGTCTTCCGTAGACAAGTAAACCAGAGAAGATTCTGATAGGTAACTACAGAATGAAGAGATTTTTCGATGTTTTGGTAACATGCTATATTTTAAATAACACTTATTAATTACATTTAAATTATCAACTAAGGCAATATATAGGAGTTTTAATATCTTCAATGCATCAATGGTAGAGTAATATAATCTTAGAAAATAAAAGAATCATAATATTAATATATCTTAATGAGCATTTAAAAAAAAAAAAAAAAAAAGCAGAATATAGTTATATAAGAACATCTTCCCCTAGATATTCCATAAACTTTTGTTCAAAATTTCTTTTACATTTCCTATAAAATATACATATAATTTGAAAAGAATCGATAATATAATGACAATTATTGAGAAAGAAATGATTGAATGGCTAACAATCTGTTGGAGGAACAGTAAAAATATTTGATATGATATACAATATTTAGTTTTATGTTTTTCTTATTGTTGAGAAATAGCGTGAGTTTTATAATCAGCATGCATATGTTGCAATCTATAATGTTCAAATCAAGGAAGAATAAAAAAAAAATGTTAATGTCTACTACCTCTCTTCTCTTCTTTTTACTTGAAAATCTTAAAATGTTGAATAAAAAAATCTGCTGTTGTACGTATTTGACCCCAGTCAAGTTCATGTTCCGTAATTGAAGACATACGTGCTAAGTAAAACTGTAATACTGATGACTCATTCTGAAATCTTTAGGGAAATCAATAAAAACTTCCTTGGAGAGCAAATTTTCCTACGAATCCATCTGTGAAAAAAGCAAAGAAAAATTAGATAACAGAAGTAGGAAATAAAATACTTCATAGTGAGTCTTCACAAAATTAGTAACAAGGAAATTTACTTCTGTTCTTTCCTGTTATTGTTTTGTTAACGAGGAAAATAAAAAAAAAATGGTGTATGAGGTTTAATTTGGCTATTGGTTATATAGATATATTTGAACTATCTTTGAGTTAACATAATGTCCTGAAGACTATCTTTATCTTATTTCGCAAAATTAATAAATTTTCATGCTATTGACTAAAGGAGTACATGTAACTTTCTTTTTTTTAAATCAAGAGATATATTGAGTATATTGTACTAATGTATAAACAAAATTTATTAATCATATTATTCAGCAAAATTTTCCATGACTATATTAATTCAATAAAACGACAAACTTTACAAGACAATGTAGCCAACCAAGCCGCCTAGCAGTTAGCGTAAATGTTATCATTCTTCAGGGATTCGACTACAACATCATAGCAAAACGGGTAATCAGCCTACAAGAGAATGCAAATCATTGATATAAAAAACCCACAAATCTTTTTTGCAGCAGGAACTATATTTGGTATTCTTCTTTCTAACATCCTTGATAGCTATGATGTAGAAAAAAAAAAGATCAGAGTTTGTTGGACTCTAATTTTATCATAGAAATAAAGAAAAGCTCAAGGCAATGGTGACTATGACTGGTTAATGTTTTCAAGTTCAAAAGTATTAAAGCAATCAGATACCACTCTAAAAGTGTATCAAATAGTGGTCCACTAGTATTGCTTTTGAAACATTTAGAAAGTATAGGTAAGAAATATACATGGTTATTTAAAAGACATGGTATTTCAGATAGAAAGAGAAACGTTGAAAGAATTCCGTATATTTTCTAAGTGTAATTCTGCTTTTCAGGGTATGCAAGTTGAAGCACCTTCAGGAGAAATCATATTTATATTATGAATATCCCAAAAGAAAATTGTTTATTAAATACAAATTATGTTTTTTTTATCCATAATGAAATATAAACTGGATATAGCAAATTCGGCTTTAAGATTGTGATGTTAATTCGTTCTCTGTAGCAGAAATATTTCAATATTTTATCGTTATCCGAATGAGTTCATCGTGTCAGATGAGATCATGACTGACTTACCAATGTGGAGATAAATTCTGGTCTTCTAATTTGTAACAGTCGTGTAATAGTGAATACATCGACTTCTTTATCAAGGGAGATTTGGTCAAGAGCGTTGTAGGCAACACAAAATTGGCCGCAGTCCTTTGCACCATCACTGAAAGTATTTTGTGGCAAAAAATACATATACTCTACCATAAATGGATGTATTTAGTATATACAAATAATTGAAAAGTCAAGAAAACGGCTAATAATTATTTTTAGTGATTATTGACTTCATCCAAAACCTATACCTCGACAAGACCAGAATATTTTGGTGTCAGGCTCAATATCTTCATTTTTGGTTGCATTTATTGCATCAAGCAATACCTCAAGATCTGACGGAGAATTTCCACCTCTCCATTCTTTACATTCAATTACTGTCAAATTCATCATTTTAAAAGTTAACTGAAACATTCCATGTATTTGTAAAGTACTTTGATAATATTTTTCTGTAATTAACATTATAGTTTTTAACTAAATAAATGTACAAAATTAACTACTCTTTAGAACAAACCTCCTTCATAAGCAAACTTTCTGTTATCGTAATGTTGTTCCTTCTTCTCGAGTCATTATAATTAATGCTGAATGATCCTACATTTTTTGCTTCTATTTGGGACGGAAACCATTGAGAAAACTAAAATGTATATTATTGTAAAAATATGAGGGAAATGTTCAAGAGAATACATTTGCCAGGACATTCGTTAGAAACAATATCACTTTCGAAAATTTAAGTTATGAGTATTTACAATGCATTTGGTTATGTGTTCGAATCCATCCAAACACCTTTGGGCTTTAATGATAGGAAACTTGATGACATTCTTACTCTTCTCTTACATTTCAATAGATTTTTAAAATGGAGTTTTTTTAAATCTTACTGTTGATAACTCTGTAAGAGGATATATAAATGCCGACATTTAAACCATTAACCAGTCTCAGGAAATCCTCTACATATTGTGGGAGTGGACACTGGGTGCCGGTCAATTTGTGATGATGTGTGAAGGACTAAAAAATCCTAAATGTAGTGCATTAAAGAAGAATTTTCGAGGGATTATTTTAGTATTTGGAGAAATATCAATTTGGTTTTTAAACAAACATACCTGAAGGATTACGGCGTTGTAATATGTCCCTATGTCCTTTTCATAGGATGACACAGGTATTTTATCAACTTCTATCCAAAAAAACTTTGCTGAAACAATATATTAAAACAGTCCAAAACTTTTAAATAAAACTGAAACAACATTAACTATTTATTTGCTTGAAATGAGAAGAAATGATTCCCATGTACAAAATGTATACAAATCGAGGCGCCGTGTCACTGCTCAATGACACTGAGTTATTTATAACTGGATAATGTAATATCAATGACTTTAATGCAAATTAAGTTTAATTACTAGTATTTGATGTAAGTAAAATCATTGTTGAAGATGAGCATTTTGTAAATGAAACATAATCTATCAATTCTATTAAGAGCTTCAAATTCAACAAGAGGGCCTTAAACCACATAGGTCACCTGAGCACATTGGCTCGGAAAAAGCAGAACTCAGTTCAGTATTGAAAAGTTTAAAGGGAGGGGGCGTAAATTTACACTACCTCAAGATGCTTCCAAATCAATATTACTAATCATGGCTTTGCTGTCCTTGAGCAGAAGAATTTTTAAGATTTTTCCCTATGTATTCCTACATGTATGTAATACTCTGATCGCTCATTGTGGCCCCACCCTACCCACCCTTAATTTGAACAAATTTGAATCTACACTACCTGAGGATGCTTCTATAATAATACGACTACCATGCCTTTGCTGTTCTTGAGCAGAAGATTTCTTAAAGATGATTTCTATACATTCTTATGTTTAACTTTGACCCTCTAGTTCACTCCCCCATCCCTGGGGGGAGGGGGTCATAATTTAAACAAACTTAATTCTTCAATATCTAATTATGGTTGCTTCTTTATAAATATGACAAATATGACTAATAATGGCTTCGTTGTTCTTGAGAAGAAGATTTTTTAAGATATTTCCTATATGACGTGTATGATCAGGTTCGTAAAAGGGATAAATAGGTTTTCTTTTTACTCTATCTGAGTTAATGATTGAAATGATTATTAAGACAGATCTGTCTGAGGGTAAATCACACAGTACTAAAATATTTACTTAGCAGCTAGAGACGGGGACGGGGTAAGGTACCACTTGCACCCTGTTTCTCCCCTAAGTTCCTATTGATAGATAAGAACTATGTGTCTCAATCATGTTAAGATTTACTATTTGCCACTGGTTCTTATAATTATTACTTTTATACCTTTATTTTGCTCTTACACTTTAACTTCTTTATAGATGATTCAACTCGGCCACTTCTTCAGCTAGCTTCTGAGTGCCTGACTTTCCCAAAGCTTTGCTTTACATTCCCTTTGGCCAGTCCATTCCAATGGTGTTCTGTTCATTCCACTATCTGAAGTCGTCAAAGCGTTTTAGGCAAATGTTCCTTAACCATTGCAACTATATATTCCTATGTAAAACCCACTGTTGTGGCCCCGACCTAACCCCGGGGGTCATGATTTGAACAAATTTGAATCTACACAACCTGAGGATACTTCTATACTGATATGACTTATAACGGCTTAGATGCTTTTGAGAAGAAAATTTTTAAAGATATTTCCTATATATTCCTACGTAAACCTTTGGTCCCTTGTTGTGTCTGTGTCCAACCCCCAGGGGTCATGATTTGAAAAAAAAATATCTTGAATCTACACAACCTGAGGATACTTCTATACTTCTATGACTAATAATGGCTTAGTTATTCTTGAGAAGATTTTGATGCAGCAATGTAAAGGCATCCCGAATCTGTTTCACAAAAATTGCTTCGGCACAGCCGATTTACATAATTATTATTAACTTTTTTGCCATATAAATAAACTTGTATCCTTGTGTATGCTATTACTTGAGTAAAACATATTTCACAATAAAGTAATTTTACAGAGACATTTGAGTATATTTTCCACAAAATATCTTCATCTGTAAAAAAAAAAAAAAAGGAAAGACTCAGCTAGAGGGAAAACGCTTCTTATAGATTTCCACAAAAGATCTCAAATAAATCCTCATTCATCGTCTGGGCCAGGCTCTTTTACACACATTTTATAAATTCTACCTCTAACCACGGGTATAAGACAGGGTAAATATCAAACGTATATATTCTGTATATATTTTGAAAACGCTGAATTTTAAACAAAGGTAATAAAGCCAAGTATGTTTAAAAAATCGAACATATAAAATTTAAAAATACGATTAAAACAAGCTTTATTTTACAATAGCTTTCTGAAACTTTATATACAGATTAAATAAGATGTAAAGTTTATGACACTCTCCGCATCAAAACAGCTTTAGTTTGCATTGATTTGACGTAAATGTCAACTATGACGTCATACATTTGTTGTTCAGAGAGTACACTGCGATACTCTATGGGAAGCATTAAGGTACATGCGAAAGATATGATCTATATATGCACAGATATATGGTAAACTTTGACCCCCTATTACGGCCCTGCAGTCCCCCCAGGGGTCATGATTGGAACAGACTTGAATCTACAATACCTGATGATAGAGTATGTAATGAAGCTTACAAATAAGCTTCGTTTCATCTTTTCTTGCCCGGTAGTTCTTGAGAAGATTTTTAAAGATCTACCAAATTTAACTGATTCTTAATTATCTCACTTAGAAAGAGGGTATGGCACTTCCTGTGAACAAACTTACATCCCCATCACCCAAGGATGCTTCTTGACACTTTTGGTTGAAATTAGCCAAGTGGTTCTTGAGAAGGAGTCGAAAATGTGAAAAGTTTACAGACGATAGACGACGGACGACAGACGACAGACGGAAGCCGGTTACTCTTTGATCAGAAAAGCTCACTTGAGCCTTCGGTTCAGGTAAGCTTATAGAAGGGTAGGAAATCCCTACGAAGTGGCGTCGTTATCGTTGTCTTTTCAATAAGTAGAGTTTCCTTTTGTGAGTACCTTCTAAACCTGCATGCATAGACTTTAATTATTTAGAATCTCATTAGATTCAAACATAAGATACTGCCAGATCAATACACAATATACACCGTAACTATACTAATAATAAAAATTGTAAAAGTTTAAAAAACTCCATATTGATATGATAAAATTTAAATGGCGAAATAACGCGCCTGCGCATCGTCTTTAGTGAGGTTGTAAACAATGGCTGGTACAGTCAAATCTAAATGTGCAGCTTAGCAGAAAAATTAAAGTATGTAGACAATGCAGAGAATGGTACAACTTTTGCATTTTAAATTCCCGAAATCTTTTTTTTACCGTTCACCTCCAGATTATATGTTTGCATTGTCCTATAAGTTAATGAAATATAATCGTTTCTTCCAATTGCCAAAGGTGATAAAGCATAAAAGACTTACTTCATTGCAATAAGTATGATTCATTGTCCCAGGTAAACAGATACAAAATCAATCCACATGTCTGCATGAAGTGGAACAGTTTGTCGACCTCGTGGTTGAATAGAGTTGTCCTCTTAACCGTTTTCAAATTACGTTATAAATTTTTGTGTCTTTTCCTCGGAAATTAAACCCCACCAAACTACCTTTGGCTTATATATATATATATATATATATATATATATATATATATATATATATATATATATATATATATATATATATATATATATATATAAAATAAAGATTTCGTACAAGATTGCACTTTAAACCAAAGCGCTTTCGCTTCTTGGCTCTTCTGTGGATTTTGAATATTGACAATTACAAAAGCAACACAACAATATCCACGGAAGTGCCAAGAGGCGAAAGCGCTATGGATTAAAGTGCCATCTTCTACGAAATCTTTATTATTTTTCTGTATTACTACCTTTATCAAGGCTTTCTTATCTATCTATCTATCTATCTATCTATCTATCTATCTATCTATCTATCTATATATATATCCATGGATCGATCACAAGTCTCATTATAAAGACAGTTTCCACTACAGTTCATTGCACAATTCTCCCCAAATCTTCCTTTTGTACACCCTGAAAATATAAAGATAATTCACTAATTTTTGTGTGATTTTCATTTTGGATTTACTGAAAATTAGTATCCAAAATTGCATACAGAAAGATAGTACGCAAAGTATAATTAAAAAATAAAACTTGAACGATTCAATTTTGATCGTAAATCTGATTATCTTTTTTTTTTTTAATTTCTAAGCATACATGTAGTTAGCAGTCATTCGTTGATACCTTAATGGACTTTAAAAACTGTAGTTGCCAGTTTTACAAAGCTGTTACTAGAGAATTATAAAAATAACAATGCATGGGTTAGAGTCCATGAATTGTGTATTTAGCAAAATACGTAACAACATTTCGAGAGAAAAAATCAAGACGTCAAACACTAACGTCATCGTCGTTTTGCCATCAGTACAAAAATTCCCTGCATGTATTTGAGATAAAGCATTTATTTGATTAGATGTATTAATAAAATTTTACTAGAACATGGAATGGTGAGAAACTTTACATAAGGTCACATTAAATCGTGTAAGAAAAAAAATAGAAGGAAAATCAAGTGATTAAAGGCATGTAATAGTGAGACAATTCTCATAATAATGGAATTTCAAGGCAAATTTTGTTTGTTTGTTTGTTTGTTGATTAACGTCCCTCTCAAGAATTTTTCACTCATATGGAGACGCCACCACTTGACGGTGGAGGGCTGCAAATTCAGCCTCATCCGAAGGACCGGTCTCCACGTCCTGCAGTGGGATTCGAACCTGCGACGTAGGGATCAACTCCTTACATCGCGACTCTAGAGCCTTAACGACTGAGTCACGCGGGCGACGCTTTTAAAATACTATTTTTAGTGAGAATTTTCAGATAAAATATATTATTAC